CACTCTTGTGACCCGCTATTTCCGGGGTGCCTTGATAGTCGAAGTAAACTTTGTGGTGTTAAAGCTAAAGAGGTGAGCTGAGTAAGTCTGATTCCCTGTAAGGACTTCTCTGCTGAAATCCACCCCTTGGCGCTCATATGACCTTATGCGGTTGCGAGCGCCGTAAAACCTCTACTAAAACAAGATACATGTACCATAAATTTATAATAACTAGATAAAGCCTACCATGAAATATAATGATAACTAGAGTGTCATCAATAATGAAAACTACACGTACCACAAATAACGATGATTAAATGCAGCATAAAAAATAACTACATACATGTACGATATATTTTCAACTTTTTTTCTTCCACTGTGTTTATTTTTTTCAGTCTTTCTTACTTTTTCTTTGCACTTAATAACCGCAATCATACTGCTTGCTCCTCTTTACCCATACTGAACTCTAAAACCCTAATGCTTTGATTGTTCCCCAGGAGATGAATATCCCTGCACCAGCATCCAAGGTGTACAGTAATGTACGTCACTGTCACACATTCAGCACCTGAGTTCGATTTCAGTGCGTGAGAAATTTCTATCGAGTATCTCGGTCTCTTCTGCTGGGACATAAGAGTTTCTCTCAACTGCGGTTGCCCCTGACAGGCAGGATCGAAGCTCAACTTATCAATGATCTAAATAATGTTGATGAAGGCGTAATAACACAAACTTAAAAAAAAAGAAGAATATTCCAGCTTCGACCAGTTAGTTCTTTAGAGGACTTTGTCCATCTCTCGCCTTTTGTTTCCGGGGTTTTAGTGTCCTTCTCAAAACAAAGTAGACATTTTGAAAATGGAGGTCTCTTTTTCATGGTGAAGACACCGAGGCTATAGGGGTAGGGGAAACTGTTCCAGAAAGGGTGAGAAAAATAAACTGCATCCCCACTGCAAGGTTATAATAAGTAACATTATGTTTCAGAAAGAACGAGAAAAATAAACTGGTTCCCCACTGTAAACTTACAAAAAGTAACATTATGTTCTTGAAAGAAAGCGCTCTTAAAATGGTGCCAAAAGATACTGATCTGTTAAACACCATTTTGACAGCCTGCCCGCGAGGGATATTACATTTTGTTTGGGTTTTTTTAACGTTTAGAATTTGAATTATGAATATGAATCGGTTTCAAATCGTATTACATTCTTCTTAGAAGCTTTTCAGTTAAGCCGGTGACTGAGTTTTCAGTTCCAACTTTTCAAAACCATTAAAAAAACAGAGATGGTGGGCACTAGACTAGTACCCCCCCCCTCACCCTTTCTACTTTTCCAAACCCTTTTCTGCTTGCAATAAATGGTGTAAACTATTCCAAGCATTCCAGGAACATTGTCAGAAATGTTTAGTCAAGGTCTCTCCAATGATTTATATGGGCTTCATTATCATTAATTTTCAAGAATCCTGTTATAAAAGCACATAATTTTCCGTCAGCATAGTCAAGTCCACGAGGTGCAATACTAGAAAAAAATGTATTTACATATTCAGACCCTCGAAAACATACTAAATAGTTTTTTTCTACCAACAGGTGGGCAGCAATGCAATCGTGTTATACGAAACACCTAAAGCTTTTAAGGGCACTTCATATCTTTGAAAGGTTCCTAGAGTATCTAGTCTATTTTTAAAAGTTATAACAAAAAATAATTAAACATTACGTGTTGTCATGAAAACGGTCGCGCGCATTGATGATGCAAGGGAAGTTATCCCTGCATTCTTCTGGAACGTCTATGTCATGATTAAAAACCGCGGCTGCTTCCCCTTTAGATGACTGCACACTTCCATAGACAGGCTGTTTTTCAGAAAATCGAGAATAGTACTGTGCGTTTGGCCTCAGAGCCTTTTATGGCATTGACTCTTCTTAGTTTTTTTATGTCATGTTTTGAAGAATACTGGGCGATTGCCCGTTTTTATGCGTGTGTGTGTACGTGTGTGTACGTGTGTGTGTGTGTGTTTGTGTGTGAGTAAGAGAAGACAGGGAAACATAGAGAAAGACAGAGATATTGAGCAAGCAAACACAAGAGAGACAGAAAGAGAGAGAGAGAGAGAGAGAGAGAGAGAGAGAGAGAGAGAGAGAGAGAGTGACAAACAGACAGACAGACAGACAAACAGACAGACAGACAGAGAGCGAAAGAAAGAGAGAGAGAGAGAGAGAGAGAGAGAGAGAGAGAGAGAGAGAGAGAGAGAGAGAGAGAGAGAGAGAGAGAGAGAGAGAGAATCAATAAACACTGTTTTGGTGACTGAAATTCCTGTACCCATAGACTTTTGAATCCTCTATGCACTTTTCACCTTCTTTGAAAAGATAATCAAAGAATAAATGAGGATGTCTTCGTACCTGAAGATCATTTTCTCTATAATATATTGTCGTCTCTGTTCACACAGCCTCAAAATTTCAGAGACGGTGCCTACTGGTTCGGTCCCAAGATATTATGAAACACAAAGGCCTCTTGAAAGTCTCTTATGAGACCCCCCCAAAAAAAAACAAAAACAACAACAACAACCCCCCCAAAAAAAAAACAAAACTACGACAAAAGAGATCATCCCTTAATTTCTGAATTATCTGGTGAGTGTGTTTACCGCTCTACCACACCCCCCCAAAGGTCAGGGAGTTGGGGCTACATTGAAAGTACATTTAATCGTCACTGTTGCAAGCAACCCACTGAAGTCCAAATTTTGAGTTTTCTATTTTACTCCCTCTCAAAGCTCTATGAGAGATGCACCTTTTAACATCAAAATGCAGTTTGATTCTACGGTAAAAGCTAACACTTTTCTTGCTTTTCATAATTTCTAAAAGGAAAAATCAAAAACTAGTTTTTTAGACTCTGGCGTAAAAAGTATTTGAATACACTTGAGTGGACTGCTTGCAACATCGACACGGAGATATGACCCATAATAAAGTACTATCTTATCTTATCTTATCTTAAGATCTTATCTAATCTTAATCTGAGATACACTTACGCTCAAGGTAACCTGCATTTTTTTTCTTACACCCGCATCGTAATAGATTAGATCATAGTTTAAGAGGCGGCCTCTGACCCTGTCTGTCAGGGCCAACCCGGGCTGATCCTCCAGAGGGATACAAGAACCCAGCAGAAAGACTGAGATACCAGTGGCAGTTGGGGTGGGGTGGG